TAGAATATTTTATGACTGAAACCCAAACATGAACAACGATATAACTGTGTATCTCACATTGATTCAAAAAAAAAGTATTAAAAACAGGGGCTGGAGTTATAGCATAGCGGGTGGGGCGTTTGCTTGCACATGGCCGACCAGGGTTCGATTCTCAGCATACCATATGGTCTCCCAAGCACCACCAAAAGTAATTCCTGAATGCAAAGCCAGGAGTAACCCCTGAGCATCGCCAGGTGTGATCCAAAAAGCAAAAACAAAAGCAAGTATTAAAAACAACAAAAACAATAAATAGTGAAACCCTAACAAACCAAATTCCTAAAGATTCTGAAAGTCATTGCTTTATGACAAATCTTGCAGTGGTGGGTCTATCCTTGATGATTTTATCTGGAAGACTGAAGAAATTTAGTTTCAGATATCCAAGCCTATTCACCAGGGCTCAGAATACCGTAAGAAGTGTCTGGGATCAAACCTGGGTCAGTTGTATACAAGGCAAACACCCTACCTGCTCTCCAGAATTCTTTCAATGTTTATGATTTTTAAGGTTACATTAGTTTTTTAATTTATTCTAATAAATTAATAACCTGACATATTAAAAGTATATTTCATTATAATTTCTCCACTATTAATGACTTATTTTTCTTAGTCAAAAGGCAATAGGAATTCCTATATCCAACTCTCTCAGAGACATATAGCCTTGCTGAAGAATCAATCCTCTTTCAACTGGCACTGGTAAAACTTGAAAAAAAAAAGTGGTAGAAAAATGCTTTTATTTTCTACTTTTGGCAGTGCCTGGGATTGAAGCCAAGTTCTTGCACAACAAAGATATGTGCTCTACCATTTGAGCCCCACCTCCAGTGCCTAACATAAATACCTTTTTAATTTTTGTGGTGGCAGAAGTCAGAGCCTCATACATATTCTACCAAGTGCTCACCAATGAGCTTTATCCTCAACCCAGAAAAGCATTCAACCCAGAAAAGCGTTCAAAAAGCTCTAACACCTGAGCATCAGTGGCCAGTGATGATCTGAAATGAAGTGCAATTGTCAACAGAAATGAAAAATGCTGGGAGAGGTCAGAGAGATAAAACAGCAGGTAGGGTGTCTGCATTGCACATAGCTGATCCAGATTTGATTCTGAGCTATCCATGAGCCCTGCCAAGAATGATCCCTAAGCACAGACCCAGGTGTAATCCCTGAGCACCAACAGATGTGGTAGGTGGCTGAGAGGAAGAAGAGACGAAAGGGAGGGGAAAGGGAAGGGAAAAAGGAAGAGGACCAGAAGGCAGGGGAAAGGAGGGAGGGGGGGAGGGAGTTGGGAACATACATATATCTACTAGCTTTGAACTTATGGCTACTTTTGAAGTATCAGGAATATCATGAAGATACCCACTTAAGTTTTCTTCAAAAGCCGCACGAGTCAAGGAATTATAACTAGTTCCATTTTACAGGTGGCAGTGAAAGAAACAGACTGACCAAAGTTATAGCTAGAAAAGTGGTGAACCAGTCTATGTGACTGGATTCTGGAACCTGTCCTCCTAACCCGCCGGCCCTGCCCCCATTCTACGTGCACCTTCACAAAGAAACATGCCCCAATCTTCCAGACTCCCAGGTAACAGATTCCAAGAGCGGACAACAACAGAACATCAACTCAGCCCTCACCACTTCAAGATGTGAGGTGTGGAAAGTCTGCGAAGGAGAGACTATCGAGAAATGACGCAGAGCAGGCTTGCAGGGCTCAATGTAGCAGGCCTGGAGGAACCGGCTTCCCCTGCCCAGGGCACTGAGATCTGCTCTAGAAGCAGCCCTGCACCGTGGATGAATCACAAGTTACTGCAAGACCACTTCCTGCAAATGAGTCTGGGGTGGGAGAGCATGTGCAGTGGCTATGGTGCTCACCGTGCACAGTCAACCTTCATTAGTTCAATGGCCCTCCAGCACCACCAGGACTGATTCCTGAGAAGAGTCAGAGTGAACTCTGAACACAGCTGGGTACGGCCCCAAACCAAACCAAAATAAAAGGCATGTGCATGTACAAATACGTTGGTTTTCTTGTCAACCCTCAACCTGAGAAAACTGAAGTTAGAGATTTAGAGTCAGAACTGCCTGACGCCAAATTTCAAGCTTTCTCAAATCCTATATTCTCACAAGGCATCTCATTTTGGTGGGGTTTGTTTGTTTGCTTTGTTTTCGGGCCACATCGGCAATGCTCAGGGGTTACTCCTGGCTCTGCACAGGAGACTATATGGGATGCCAGAAATTGAACTTGGGCCAGCCATGTGCAAGGCATATTTCTTACCCACTATACTATCCCGTACTCTCTCCCAGCCCCACAGGGAGTCCCTTCCAAAACTTTCACCGTCATCAATGAAAGAAGCACAGCTTTGAGGATGAGAAGTTTGCCTTTGCTCACTGGAAACTTTATGCCATAGTACTCCATATATGTTAACCAACTATTAGAATTAGACTAATGAGCCAGAGAGATAGTACAATAGGTAAGATGCATGCCTAGCATGCGGTTGATCCCTGGCACCTCATATTGTTCCCCAAGTCCTGTCAGGGAGAAATATCTGCGCACAGAGCAAAAATAACCCCCGCATACTACCAGTTGTGACCCAAATACCCCCCAAATAAATAAATATATATGTAATTTTTAATGGTTTTACAATTCACACTGCAAGTTTTGTAATATCCAAAACCAACAGAAAAGTATTTTTTCAAATGCATTACTCTCATTAAAAATTAAAAGTGACAGTCAATCTCATGTGTAAAGGGAAAAAAGTAAAGATCCTTTGTTGAGGGGGGTCTGGATGATGGGGGAGCTGGCAAAGTTTGGTATAGTCCTGTGTTAACACATGATATGCAGGAAAGGGCACTCACACAGTGCTGGTGGAGACCTGAACGAGTTCAAGTTCTACTAAGGATAAAAATCAATTATCAAATGAAATTTAAAATTTCAGGGGCAGGAGAGATAATACAGAGGGGTAAGGTGCTTGCCTTGCACGATGCCTCCCCATATTGTCCTTCAGGGCCACCAGTAGTGATCCATGAGCACAGAGCCAGGAGTAAGCCCAGGGTACAGCTGGATGTGATCTAACCCCTAACCTCCCATGCTCAGTTTTTGTTTGGGGGCCATACCAAGCAGTGCTCAGGGTTTACTCCTGACTCTGGCTCAGGGGTCACCCCCAGAGATGTAGGGGACCATATGGGATGTCAGGGACCTAACCTGGTTCCGTGGCATGCAAGGTAAGCACCCTACCTGCTATAATATCTTTGTCACCACCACCCCAAAATTTTTAAATACATCAAAATCTTGACTCAGCAAATCTACTTCTTTTTTTCAATGTTTTGCAAAATTTTATATTAAGTATTTAAAAAAATTTTTATTAGTGAATCACTGTGCGGTACAGTTACAGACTTACAAACTTTCATGCTTGCATTTCAGTCATACAATGGTCAAATACCCATCCCTCCACCAGTGCCCATCTTTCACCACAAATGATCCCAGCACCATTACCCCCACCCCATCCCCTCCACCCCACCCCACCTCTGTGGCAGGGCATTCCCTTTTCCTCTCTCCTTTTGGGTGTTGTGGTTTCAGCAAATCTACTTCTAGAAATCTAATCATACTTAAGTATTGTTCATAAGCAAAGGACTTGTAATGAGCAATAAAAAAATCTAAATTGGGACTAACAGTCTTTAAACATAACCAAATCAAAACATGACTCGATATACAACTAAAATATTATTTTTATATGAATGATATACTTCAATATTATGGTTACATTTGTGTAACGAGGAATAAGAATGCACATGTAATTGTCTTCTATCTCTCCAAGGAAGGGAATAAGGACTTCTTTGAAGAATAATCTCAAACATTTGCACTCTCCACACACACAAGCACACGGGTCTTTAAATTTTTTAATCAGGCAAATGTTATCAATCATAAAAATATACATTTATGTTATGTAGTTTTCTCTATTTCCCAGCCTACACTCCTTTCGCAGAGGGAAAAAAAGTACCCCTGACAAATGGGCACTACCCTGACACCCTGTGTTACCTCGGAATCTTCACCACTGTATAGCTGACACAATGCTTTGAAGTATTACTAGCACAGTTTTAAAATGTCATGTAAGGGCCACATCTCAGATTTTTGCAGAAAAAACTGGCACACAACCTGGGATGATGCAGTGGGCCCTGCCCTTCAGGACAGCACAGTTCATCTAGTCACCAGTTTACCACAGACGACAGCTGGCTCCTATCTGCACTGCCTGTGAAGGTCCCTGAGATGCCCCTGGTTTGAGCACCTGGTATTCAACACAAGTCTATCAGAAGCAGGATTTGTGGGTGCCTCATCTTCTTGCTATAGTGTTCAGTTCACCAGCTCACCGCCAAGTGTCTAGAAAGATCTTTTTCTAGAGGAAACTGTCTGATCTGTGAAACAAAACATTGGTTGTTTGGGAATACAACTTTCAGATAGATGGAATACACTTTTCCCATCTATCTGAAAACAAATTCCTTCAGTCCAATGTCTGCACACTCTTGAATGATAATAATAATTAGAAGAATCAGCGAGCAGAAAGGCTTAAGAGTTAAACTTGGCTTCACACATTTTCAACTTACCAGCTTTGGGGGAAAAAAAGCACTGATGTATGTATCATAGAAATAAGAAAAAAGTTTATGTAATTTGGCAGTAATACCAAAGGTCTGGAGCTTCTCGCAATCAGGATGGAACTCAGCTTCACTGGTGTATCACTCCATTACTATCATCAATTACATTTAAACTATATTACACTTGAACCAAATAGTTGTTATTACCACTTGTCTTATTCTTTTAATTCTCATTAGTTATTCTCATAATTCTTCTTTGTCCTTTTATTCAAAAATATAAAGAGCAGGGTCAAACCTAGCAAAAATAAGTTCCTTTCTGCTGCCCACCAGCCAAAAACATGTTACTGTATTTAACCAAGTCATTCCATGTAAGGAAAAAGTTTTCAATGGCTTACTGTCTAGCTTGGTCCTTGCTGGAATAGGTTACATTGACCACTGCAGTTTCCGAGTCAGTGTTCACTAGAGGGAAAAAAAATGAACAGAAAAGATTAGTTTACTTGCTATTTCCTTTCTTTTTCAAATTTGAAGGCAATTGAGAAGACATGTACCTTGCTCACAGTTTTCCACAACTCCATACTGAACTAGTAAACTATCCAGCACCTATCAGGAGGAGAGAAAATTACAAATTTTGAGTTCCCCAAGTTATTACCAAGGACAGGAGTATGTCTAAATATCACAACAATAACTGTGATGGAAAAGATTCCCCCAAAAAGATGAACAGGAGTTTGAGGGTGCAGAAGCTAGGTGGTCACAATACAAAATACACAGTTCAACTTCCCACTCCTGCCTCCCCCAGAGCCCCTGACTTGTAGCTTATCTCCCACAGCAAACCAAGAAGCAAGAAGATTCAGCAGAGTTCAGTCACAGCTGCCTGACACTCCTGGGCTGGAGGAGAAAGCTGGTGTAGCTATGAACTTCTAACATCAACACGCCATCATCCTTCCTTCTTGTATCCAAAATTATGAGACAAGGGCATAAGGAAAATTGTGCCCATCTTGAAGATGTTCATTTTCGACAAACTTCCCCATCCCACCCTCTGCCTCACCCAGTGGTGCTCAGAGATCACTCCTAGCAGGCAGGGCAGGCATTCTACCCACTGTCCCATCCCTCTGGCCCCAGCTTTCCCTTAATTTACTGATTTCAGATGTAAACCCATAGCGAAGTTTGAGCTTGTATTTCCCTCCATTTTATTATTTATTTCCGTTTTGGGGTCACACCTGTGGTGCTCAGGGATCATTCCTGCAGTGCTCATTGGGCCATATGTGGTGCTAGGGACTCAACTGGGTCAGCTACTTGCCAGGCAAGTGTCTCACTTTCTGTACTATCTCGAGTCCCTCCCTGCCACTTTTTTTTTTCTTTTTGGGTCACACCTGGAGATGCACAGGGGTTATTCCTGGCTCTGCACTCAGGAATTACCCTGGCGGTGCTCAGGGGACCATATGGGATGCTGGGAATCGAACCCGGGTCGGCCGCATGCAAGGCAAACGCCTTACCCGTTGTGCTATTGCTCCAGTCCCATCCTCCCTGCCACTTTAAATAAGATATTATTTAAATAATCCTATCTATTGGGAATTTAACAGTTACTTTTTTTTAATTGTACAATCTTCCTATTTCCTCTGTGTGGGGTCCAACCTGTAGAAGCAATAATTTATGCCTAGTTCAATTAGTCACTGTCTCTAATTATAGCTTTTAAATCATAAGCCTAAACTTATTTTTTAATTCCGAGTACTTGACTAGACAAAGACTCATTCATCTCCCTAAGGCACCTGAGAGAGTATGGGATCCATGAGCAAGAATTTTTTGTCTCAATAGATTGCTCCATAGCTGGAAGCCTGCCTCATGAGCAAAGGGGAGAAGGCAGCTGGAATAGAGAAGGGATCACTAAGAAAAAGATGGCTGGAGGAATCGGTCGGGATGGGAAATGTGTGCAGAAAGTAGATAAAGGAACAAAAATGATAACCTCTCAGGGTCTGTATTGCAAACCATAATGCTCAAAAGTAGAGATTATGTGGAAACATATCTGCCATGGAGGCAGGGGGAGGGTGGGAAACGGGGGGGTATACCGGGGATACTGGTGGTGGGGAATGTGCACTGGTGGAGGGATGGGTGTTTGATCATTGTGTGATTGTAACCCAAACATGAAAGCTTGTAACTATCTCATGGTGATTCAATAAAAAAAAAAAACCTTTTTGTCTTTACATTATTCCCAATTCCAAAAACATACAGATACAAAAACACACGCACATATTTAATCTTAATGTATATACTTTCATAAGGAAAGCCGAGCAGTCCTATGGCTTATTAGGAATGACACTTTTCAATTGTGCTCATCTGTTTTTCATGGATGAACTTGCATTGCACGTGTGTTGATCACAGGCATACTTCTTAAAGGCAATAAAAGAAAACTTCTCACAATGCCACCCAAAGAGATGATATGCAGCATTTATTTCCTTCAATAAAAAGTAACCTATTTCACTGTAGATTCTATGACAATTCTGGGAGGGCAAGTATGTGGGGTACTGCCAGTATGTTAAGCTTTACAGGATACAAATCAATTTTTGGACTGAAAAACAGGGTGCAGTGCTCATATAATAAAATTCATAATTTTATATTTAAAGCATGTAATTAACAAAACTTTTCACAGTATCATACAAAGATACAGTACGTAATATAGAATTTTTTTCTTTGAAAAGCAAAGTACCTATATTTTTGATTGTCTGTGTGTATACATGTGCACGTACCAGAGATCAAACAGAACCTCATACACGTAAAACACAAACTCAAACACCAAGCTACCTACAACCCATTCACTTATATTACAAAAACAAATATATTTAATTCAAAAAAATTGTATATTAAGAGAATTCTAATAAGGTATTTTATTCAGGGGGCGGGGGGTGGGAGGTCCACACCTAGTGGTGTTCAGGGCTTACTCCTGGCTTTGCACTCAGGGATCAGTCATGGTGGGCTTGGGGGACTATTTGAGGTGCTGGGGTTCTAGAACCTGGGCTGGACTCATGCAAGGTAGGTGGCCTTACCCACTATACTGTCATTCCAGGCCTCTTTAATTCATCTTTTGCTAAATAACTAAAGTAAAAGTACATCTACCATTTAAATTTTAGCTGTACAGTAAAAATTAATTTTGTGGAGGATGGGCAAGAGACAGGAGCAAGAGAGATATGAGAAGAGCATTTATAAGGCTTTGGAGAGTATCCAGGAACAATCCTGAAGACCTGGACAAGCATGGTGCAAAGAATGGAATGTGCCTCATGAAAAATGGGTGGTTGCCGCCTTCGATGAAGAAAACTGGGAAGGAATCCAAGGGAGTTTAATCATTAACCTAGAAAATATATCAGAACTAGTGAAAAGTAAGAGCAATTGCTTATGATAAAATATTAAGTAAAAGGTAACTGGAACATATACAATAATTCAATAATCATAATCATAGAACACAGTAATACTCTGCTTCTTGGTGTTTGTGAAACAAAAAGTAAAATTTGGGGCTGGAGAAATGGTACAGCAGGTAAGGCATTTGCATTGAATAAGCTGACCGAGGTCCAGTCTCCAGCACCCAATATGGTCCACTCCCTAGCACTACCAGAAGTGATCCCTGAGCACTACTAGTGTGGACCCAAAAAACAAACAAAAGGGTAAAATTCTAATAAAAAACAACAAACATCTTTAAGTCATTATGAGTTTCATAGCAACCTTGATACCACAGGTAGGGTTGCAGAAAGGAGTAGAGATGGTGGTGGCAGGAAAAGGGAAAATAAGGAATATGTGGGTGAATAACCAGTTTAATATGTCAATTTAAATGAACATCATTTTAATTCCTCCTGAAAACAATTTACTCAGTAATGAACTGCATTAGTCTCCACTTAATTTAGCTTATACCACTCCACCTTAAATTCTACCACTAAAGAGAAGATACTACAAAAGGTAAAGACCCATGGCAGATAAATGTTGGCTAAATCTGGAATTCTTTTTTGCATAAGCTTTCAAGGTAATCACAACTGACAGAGATGGGGGACTATTGCCAACAGTGCAGTCAGATTCCCAAGAGTGTCCAAATCAAAGGACTAAGCAGACAGCAAGGCACCTGTTTCCTGCAATCTATCATATAGTGGTTTGTGTGACTGTGCCCAGGTTAAACAGAGCTATCAGATTATAGCCTGACTCTCAACCCCCACCCGGCAATCAATCAAAGAGCAACTACAACTTACTCTTGACTGCATTATGACACTGCCTCACCCTGCAATACTAGGGAGCTTAGGCAAAGGTACTTGTTACCTGTCACATAACCAGCCACCCCAGGTTCCTGTCCTCCAATCCCAGAGCATTTCTTCTACCTCCACCAGTATTTGTTTATCTCAGCCACAAATACTTCCTTAAAAATGGAAAACCTCTATTGCACATTTCCAGTATTCCCTACCAAGTCAAAATTCTCCTAACAAAAATGAATTAACTTTACTGAAACCAGAAGAGGTTCCTCTGTGCTTTCTTTGGGGTGGTTTCTATTTTAACTGAAGGGGAAAGATAATCGTAAAATAAATTGAAGTCTTAAAAGAATTGAATCCTTGAAATTCCCCCTTTCATGTTTCAGGACTTAAAATTTCATAAGATCCGTGTTTGTTTTTTTTTCCCCTTTAAGTTCAGGGCTAAAAAGACAGTACAGGGGTTAAGACATTTGTCTTGTATCCCAGCAACTTTGGTTCAAATTTCCTGGCACATACATGGTCCCCTGAGCACTGGCAAGAGTCACTCCTGAGCACAGAGTCAGGAACAGCCCCTGAACACTTCCAGGTGTAGGACGGAGGGAGGGGATTCAAATGTGCAGAAAATGCATAAAGAAGGCCAGATCTTCAAGCCCTGCTCTCCCTTAAACATGTACCTCACTAGTTGTCTACATTTCTTTGCTTGTTTCCACTCTGGAAAAGCCTGAGTTCTCTTTCAAACACATACTTCTCTTTTTCTCTCCTCTTAGATCTTTCTCAAAATGCAAAAAAGAAAATCATGAGGAAGACAGAGTTTTATTTTCCTTTACAGAACAGAATCAATAAAATTCATTGATTCATTCATTCATTCATTCATTCATAAAATCCTAGAATGAAAACCATCCAAATGCTCATCAGCTGATGAACAGGTAGAAATGTAATATGCCCCATAAAGTATTATTCAGCTGTAAGAAAAACTGACTATACTGGTACATGCTACAACAGACAAACCTTGAAAATAAACAAAATAATGCACAAAAGGAGAAAGAGAAAAAGAAGAAAAGTATATGCCACAGAGGAAGGCTGGGGGGGGGGGGGGTGCGGGGGGAGCGGGATGGTGGAAGGAAAACGAGGGACACTGATGGTGGGAAATGTACACTGGTGGACGGATGGGGTGTTAGAACACTGTATGGCTGAAACCCAATCATGAACAGCTTTGTAATGGTCTATCTCATGGATGTTCAATTAAAAAAAATTTTTTTTAAAAAAATATGTATATAAAAAAAGCAAGTTACAAAAGACCCCTGGCTCATGAAATCACATGATCCCATTCACAGGGAATACCCCAAATATTTCTATAGACAGAAAGCAGAGGGGCTGGAGTGA